TTGCGCCCTGATTCCCCAAATCCAACAACAGGGTGATTAATAAGACCCTCCTCCAATATGTTCAACTGTTCGCATACAAAAGATCAAAGTCAGCAGGAATATTTGAGCACTTAACGTGTCAAATCAAAGGTTTATTATAAAATTATAGAGGGGGGTGTTGAAGCAAGTAAAGAGAATGAAGAAACTTACCTGCCTTTTTTGCCAGCGTAAAAATGCCTTTCTATCAGAAAATTCTGTTTTTGAGATACATGACAACAATTCCAGAGGAACTAAGAGGGTGTCCATTCTTTTTCCTACTTTTCCTGAAAGGGCATTTAGGAGGCCTTTCCGTGTTCTCACGTCCATTGACTCGGATATCTGCAAATGGTATTAGAAATAAAATTTAGCCGCAAAAATGAACTATAAAGCATTCCTCCAATCGAAGACTTATAAGATAAGTAGCCTTCTTAAAATGAAGATAGTAGTACAATATGAAAACACATCAGCCCCACAATACAAATAAGCAAAGAAAACTCAAAACCAATACTAATATTCATACTCCAAAGAAGATAAAACATCCAGACTCTATCCCAATCGTTCTCAATGTTTTTCTCTCTCTCTCTCTCTCTCTCTCTCTCTCTCTCTCTTCAGGTAAATGACAATTTATTTGAGATAGGAAAAGCAAAAAAACAGGGGCAATGGCTGATGAGGCATGGAAAAAAAAAACGTTTTTCGAATTAGTACATAGCATGTTAGTAATTACAAAATGTTGCAATAGAACAATATAGAGACAACCAAATGAATAATATCCCAATGCTCTTCAACCTCTCTAGACATATCAGTGGAAATTACTCTTTTAGTACTCATTTATTCTCCCTAGGGGAGCTGTTTTCTTAACTTTGATCAGAGTATATTTTCATAAATTAATGAAAAATGCTTTTGTAATGTAAATTCCAACCAAATCTCTCAAAAAATTTGGTGAGACCCCATATCCCAAAGGATTATAAACTTTAACATGATGAGGTGAGTGCATTTGCAAACTAGCTTGCTCAATGAGTCCCGGAATTCCATTTAAGAGTCACCACAAACAGAATTAAATTCCTAAATCAATCGTATGGAATACAGGTTCTGTTCCATTGCTATGGATGCTGAATATCCATAAATAATATCAAGTGCATTAAAATCCACAATGCAAGTAATAATTTAAAATCAAGTATAAAAGTTGTCATCGTGTCAAGATAAGCATTAAATGACAAGGCTACCTCCATCTGTACTCGCATTGCTTCTAGCAACCCAACTAACCCTGGAGCACGTTGAGATTCGACAACAATTCCACTTTTACTACTACGTCCAAGCTTCCTCATCAACTTAGACCTTCTATCTTTCTTCTTCTCTGTTGATGGTACAATAAGACCCCTATTTAAATAGTGAAGACAGATTTAAGAAATTGTGAAATAACAAAATCTAATATGAAGATGAACAATAAATTCTGTCAAAAACGGGAATAACTGAGCCATATGACAAGAAAATGATACAGTGAATTAAAAGGCTAAACATGTATGTTCCTTATCTTGCAGCATTATCAGTAGCTATTGTACTAGCTTACAGTTACCATTTCTTACTTCTTTAGCTGATAAGTTAGCTGAAAGCCTCCATTGTGCTCTGTTGTAGTAGCCCTATTCTTTTTTCTTTAATGAATGAAAAATTTTGGAGAGACTTCCTTGAGAAATATTCCTAGGCTACATCATATGCTATCAGACCGATGTTTTTGTCTAGGCCAATCGCTACCACAACAGAAAATCGGAAAAACCCTATTGGCAAAGATCACATTAAGGAGGATAGTGATACTGTTTTCAGATATTGAGCACGGCTGCCTACGACATTAACAGCGGTATTATGCCGTATATAATCTTCTTTTCTTTTTTTTTTTATTGGAAACAATTTTATTGATTGTATAAAATTATACAAAAAAGGGGTATGCCTTATAATCTTAAAGATCAGTTTTATGAATTCATTTCCATCGGAAGCACTAGAGTTATCTTAGTCTTTTAATTGTACCTTTCTACAACACAAGAAAGAAGTGGAACTTCTATTTTCTTTTTAGGTACCGTGACCAGCCTGCCACGTCTCAAACTTGAGAACAGGTTTTTATTAAAAGGAAGAACAGACATAGGGAGTTAATGTTTATTTTTCCTTGCATTTTTCTGATTAGTTGCTGAAGTTGCCATTCTATTTCACAATTATTCAAGTAGTCAGGTGGTTTATTGCTTGGTTAGTTACCTAAGAGTCATTAATAATGTACTCCAATGACCTTGAGAATTACTCCAGAAACGAGTCAAAGCAAAAGCAAGAAAGTACAAGATAAGATGTTATACCCAGAGGCCCCAGCACAAGCCAAAAGAACCTCATATGCTGTTTCTCGAAGGTCGTCATCTGTGATTCCTGTAACAAACAAAACAGAAAGTATAAAACAGACTCTCCAACAGTCAAAAAAATTGAAAGATATAACCTCAAAAATTCTATCCTTTGCAGCCTAAATGCAGATGGAGATGATCGATGTTGTTACATTAGATACCCTAGAAAGTAATAAAGACTTGGAGAACATTAAAACAGCTAAGCATGCCCACTGCCTTGTTCAGATCTACAGCTACACACAACTCCAGCCATTTCAACACACACAATCCGTCAGCCAATATATTTAATACTACCTGTTGAAAAAGAGGGCAGTTTGAGAGCAAGATCTGCTGCATCATTTGGGTTTCTTCTTGACATCCTCATGCTGTTAACCTCAACATCTTCATCATCATCAAAATCTTCGATGTCGTCCACGGTTAGTTCCCGAGCATGTGAGGACTCAAAAGACTCGGATCTGGATACATTTGTTTCAGTTAGTGATGGTGTGGGAATAGGTACTGGTGCAATTACTGCCGGAGGTGTATAGACAGGAGGAGGTGTGAAAGCAGGAACAGGAGGTGGCGCCCTTTTTGGAGGCGACCCTGATGAATCTAAATCTGTGACCAAGAAAAATTCATCTCCAGAACCTGAATTGTTCTGGGATGTCAAGATAACATATATATTAGCAACGATTTATTAACTCAAATCATAAATCAAGTATGACAGGGGAAAATTACATTCACAGAACCTACAGCATGTGAAATAAAGAAGGAAAAAACAAGACTAAGAAGAGAGTGGGGGCTGCATGTCATACTCACCATCTGAGGAAACCCCGTAAGGTCGTGATAATCTCTAATGGCTTCAGATAGTTCAAGCATGGCGCCTGTTTTTGCAGATGATAGCATAAGAATATATTTGAAATAAATGAAACTTATAAATATGAGTATGAACAAGTCAAAGCACCTTTTTTAGCACAATTAAGAACATAATCCACACTAACTTGGTCTAGATCAACATCATCAAGGGTAACAGCACCAGGAGGCATTACAACTTTCTTTATCAAGCTTCCAGACAGTACAAAATCAAGAAGTATCTGTCTGTCCCGCCTGTAGCGTTGTAAAAGCTCGATGGCATTTTCCCTGTATGATAGGAAGAACACATTGTTCATCCAAAACAAAAGAAATGGAAGTCCAAACAGGCAAACTCAAGTAACACTAAAATGATAAGCCTTCGATTTCACTGTTCCATAAAAAGAATAGTCATTAGATATCCAGGAGACACTTACTCTTCCATGGTGAAGCTAAATGATACTAACAGTGAAATCCCTCAATTTCAGACAATGTACATCCGGTCCATCTCAGAGCGATAAAATTTGTTCTGGTAGCAAAGTCACAAACGAATATACCATCATGCGTTAAATCAACAGCCAACTGGAAATCAAATTCATAAACCAGAGCATTACAAATGCACGTCACAGGTAATAGATTCAAGATAAACGACTTTTCCTGTGCATTCCTGGATTTCACGTATTCAGGAAACAATTCAAGTTCCAGTCAAGGAATCTAACCATACCTCGATTCCTACAAATGACAAACTGTGTAGAGTCCTCCCAGTACAAGCTGAACCACGAGCTGGTCCGATTCTGACTGCTACAATACCGGAAGCCACTGGATCCTGCAAATTGAAGTAGCTTTCAGCAATAAAACACTCGACCTCATCCAATTCACTTCGTATCAGTTCTGCAACCGGGAAGAAGTTGCAACTTCAGAGAATCCATTGGAAGCTAGAGAGACAGTAGAAACAAAACTCCCATCGATACCTTGGCTATATGCAGCTACCTTGTCGAAGAAAATGAGTGCCGAAACAATGGCGATGAGACCAACAATCAATGGTTGAAGTGAGAACTGGAATTACAGCTATGGAAACATGAACTGAGAAATTGAGCGCCTGAGCTGAGAAATCGGAGATGGATCTAATCCTCGGAATCTAATAATGTTTATTATTGAAAAATTTAGATACCAATCGGGTTGATTGGATCCTAGATTGCTGAACTAAGAAATTAACCAATTTTTATTTTTCTTTTAGATATATATATATATCTCTTCTTTTTTTTTCTTTTTTTCTTTTTTTTTTTTTTTTTTTTTTTTTTTTTTTTTTTTGTTAATGGGTTCAATTAAATAATAAATACAAAAAGTTTATTATTTTTGTCAACTAAAATATAAAAAATATATATTTTATCAAATATTATTTGAATATTTGCTAAAATAAATAAAAGAATTAACCTGTTATAACCACGACAATTATCTTTACTTACGAAAAATAAATAAATTAATTAAAAATAGTAATAAATATATTAAAATGTATGCCTTACTCATAATAGAGCATAAACCTAAAAGCTTATATCAAGTAACCGAAAATAAAAAAATGACATCGATAAATTGAAAAATTAATTAATTACTTTTTTAATTATTGAAATTTATAGTATAAATAAACATATATATTTTATTATTGAATTATGCTCTAATTCATTTAAATAAGAAAAATATATTTTTTTTTTAAAGTGACCTAATAATTAGATTTATTTATTTATTTATTTTTATTATTATTATTATTATTTTATTGTCAATTCCTAAGGAGGGAAAAAGCCCTGGCGGCTGGTACTTGGTTGATAGGGTTTAAGCATCGCCGGCGAGCTACCGGATAACTATAATTTTGATACTCTGTTTCCTCTCGACATACTCCATGGATCAGTTTCCCAAAGAACTCGACAGAGAAGTATGCAACATGAACAAGATTGAACGAGAAGAGGAAGAGGAAGAGGAGGAGGAGGAGGAGGAAGAAGATGTACAAGACGACTGGGACGATTGGAATGCAGATGAGGAAGAAGGTGAAGAAGGATTTGACTCGAGTTTTCTGTGTTTGTTCTGCACATCGAAGTATAATGACTGCGCCACGCTGCTCAACCACTGCAACTCGGTTCATAATTTTGATTTTCACGGCATTAGGAAGGGTCTGGGTTTAGACTTTTATGGTTCGTTTAAAATTATCAACTACATACGATCTCAGGTTAGCCGAGTTTTTTCTAGGAGTTTTAAATTTTGTGAGTTTCATGTTTGTTGGCTATTTATTGACAAAATGATCCAGAAAAGATATGATATGCTCCAGAAAATATACGATCAACAGATCTTAGTCATTTAGTTTACAAATCTGGTTAGCTCTCAAACAAGTGTTAACTCATTTTTTTAACATTCCTGGTACTGATCAGGTAGCAGAAAATAGGTGTTGGAGCTGTGGTTTCTTGTGTCAATCAAGCCAAGATTTACAGAACCATTTGCACAAAACACTCAATCTCAATGAAATCAAGGCTCTTTGGAATGATGATAAATACCTGAAACCCTTCAGTGAAGATGATCCCCTCTTGTACAGTTTTGCAGAAGACGAAGAGGATGATGACATTTCACCTATCACCAACAATCTACAGAGGAATACAGATACCAATGGAGGTAATTGCAATGTTGATGAAATGAATAGAGCAAGTCTTCCATTTAATCTTAACCGAAGCAAGGAACATGAAATGGCAGATTGTAGTTCTTCTTCACATGGTTATTTGAATACTCCAATTAACTTAGAGGCCGTGATTGAGAATACCGTGAAAGCCACAGAGACCTTGGAATTGAACGATAAGATGCAGGAAGACGATCGATTAAAAATAACCGGAAGAAATTTTTTTTCGAAGGATATCAAGAATGTAAATGAAAGCTACTTTGGTTCATATAGCTCTTTTGGCATACACAGAGAGATGTTAAGTGACAAGGTGCTATATTGCTTCCAGTCTACTTTATAACAGAACATCATAAAATGATTCATTTTTGTAATATATCACCAACACTACTTTTTATGCAGGTCAGAATGGATGCTTATATGCAAGCTATTTTGCAAAACCCCTCTCTCTTCCGCAATGCAGCTGTGATGGATGTGGGCTGTGGAACAGGCATACTTAGGTGAGCTGGAAAATAAATTGGTGCAATTGGCTGCAATTTTTCATTTGGGCCATTTTAACATTATAATGACGTGCAATAACAATAAGCAGCTCCCGTAGACTGTATACATATACATATTCACCCCTTTCTTGTCATGTTTTTCATTCGGAGTTTCGTTGACGTTGACAAACCATACACTCCTCGTAATTCATCTAATTACAATGTCTATGTAATCTTCATCTGTTCCTTCCCTTCTCCAGTCTCTTTGCTGCAAAAGCGGGTGCATCAAGAGTTATTGCTGTTGAAGCAAGTGAAAAGATGGCAGCAGTGGCTACTCAAGTAATGAATCAACTTCAATATAGTTATTTAGTTTCCTTATTTCTCTGATGGTCTATTTTACACCATCTCCTTTACTGAACTTGGCTACAGATTGCAAAAGATAACGGCCTCTTGCGGAATAGGAAACAGGGTGGGGATTGTGGCATGTCAAGTGGGACTGTTGAAGTCGTTAATGGTATGGTAGAAGAACTTGATAAGAACATAGAGATTCAGCCTCACAGTGTTGACGTATTATTGAGTGAATGGATGGGCTATTGCTTGCTGTATGAGTCAATGCTCAGTTCAGTGCTCTTTGCAAGGGATCGTTGGTTGAAGCCTGGAGGTGCCATCTTACCAGATACTGCCACAATTGTAAGTCTGCTTTGGTCTGATTCACCTCGTGATTGGTCTGATCATGAAATTATATTTATTGCTGTTGTTAGTAACTTCTCTATCTACTTTTCAGCTTGTTGCAGGATTTGGAGTTGGTGGAACTAGTCTTCCATTTTGGGAAAATGTGTACGGTTTCAATATGTCTTGTGTAGGGAAGGAACTTGTAGAGGATGCTGCCAAAGGTCCCATCGTTGACACTGTGGAGGCTAACGATTTAGTTACTAGTGCAGCAATACTTCATGTAAGTACTACCCGAAAAGAAAATATATCCATTGTGGATGCATTGCACTATACTACTAGAGCTTGGCAATCTTTTTTTCCTCCATGGTTCTTATAATCGTTAGTCTTCTTCCTGCACGGCCTGAAAGAAGTATACTTAGAAAGAGACGTAATTACTGGGACAAAAATATTTTAATGTGCTCACTCGATAGTTTGTGAATACTGTTTCGAAACACTATTTCTTGTATCTTTCATCAAACTACTATTTAAGTTATGCTCACAATGTGAGATCCCCATCGATTGGAGAGGGGAACGAGTGTGAGCGAGGACGCTGGGCCTCAAAGGGAGGTGGATTGTGAGATCCCACATCGATTGGAAAGGGGAACGAAGCATTCTTTATAAATGTGTGGAAACCTCTCCCTAGTAGATGCATTTTAAAAACCGTGAGGGAAAGCCCGAAAGGGAAAGCCCAAAGAAGACAATATTTGTTAGCGGTGGGCTTAGGGTCATTACAATGCTCACATCATCCTACATCTAGTGGGACTCATGGTCTTTGTTTGATATCTGTGAGTGTTTAGGTCAAATTGCTAACACCTCCACTATTCTAACAGCATCATCTTTTATACTTCTCCACACTTCTTCTTTTCAGTGATTTTGCCCTCTCCCTAAATGGATAAAAGTTAGATGCATTGTGCTCATAAGGTCTCAGATATATTTTGCCCCAGTTTGTTTGTTTACGTATTCCTCTCTTCACTAGTGATTTGTATGCTTAGCAAGTCTTGAGCTGTTCCTTCAATTATCCATGATTTTTGCATCATTTTTAAGAACATCATATGTACGGTTTAACAGAATGGCTTGATTGATTTAACCCCTGCCGTAGGTGGTATGTGTAATGTAACTCTGAAAATATCTCACATGCTGGTTTCTTTTATAATGACATGCCTTGGTTTTCTTTGTTTTGGTACAGACTTTTGATCTAGCAACTATGCATGCTGACGAAGTAGACTTCACTGCAAGTACTGAGTTGGAACCAAATTTGCATAAGCCTTCAAGCAAATCAGAAAACGGTGAAATTGAAACATCTTGGTGTCATGGAGTTGTCTTATGGTTTGAAACTGGTTTTACAAGCAGATTTTGCAAAGAATCACCGGCTGTTCTATCTACATCCCCATACACTCCCAAAACTCACTGGTCTCAAACCATATTAACCTTCAGAGAACCAATTGCTATAACATCAAGCAAATCTGCCACCAACAAATCAGCAACAGTGGGCAGCCTTGCCTCCCCTGCTATCAAAGTTCATTTGCGCCTTAGCATTGTCCGTGCGCCCAAACATCGAAGCATTGACATTTCACTCGAGACTACTGGGATTGCGGGTGATGGTAGGAAGCACCACTGGCCCGTACAACTTTTCACACTAAGATAAAGTACCGAACAGCAAATGACAGATGCTTGGTTTCTAATTATGTTTTGAAACTTGTTCGATCTCCATGCGTGTTATTTGTGATAGTAGCAGAAGATTCATTCATGGATTTTCCCAATTTTGACTCTTAATTCTTGATATGTAAGTTATATTAATAGGCATTGAGAATGTAAACGAGTTGACATCATGTACTATGGTTATTCATGCCATTAAGTTTTGTTATGATTGTTGTATTCTAATGTTGTATTTCCACAGAACCCAACGAGGAATTTGATGTTCTAGGAATTCACTAATATGCCTTTACAATGACGTTGTACAATGGTTCGTGATGCTAGAATTTGATATAATTTTGGTTTTGAATGAATTTGGGCCAAAATTATATCAAGTCCATGCTTTTGAGCGCAACTTAGCTAGACAAGGTGAAAGATGGATTAGGGTTTGGACAGAGATTTTGAATCATTGAATCCTAGGCTCATGGCATTAGAAATGGTATCGTATCGTAGCAAGACTTTTAGGACGTGATTTAGAGATAAATTATGACAAAAAGTCGGTAACACGGTAACACATTATGTCTAAGTATTAGAAGACTACGCTTAGAAGAAAGATATTGAGAGTATGAAAAATTGGCTTTAAAAGGTTTAAATAAACTGATAATCGTTGTCTATGCTAGTAAGTACATATTACTTTTTAGTGACCGAAAGATGTGTGTTGGTCTCTAGGGACAATCTTTTTCGTTTTATTTATTTATTTATTTACTTATTTTGGTACCCATCACCTAAAGAATTGCATTGAAAACCATTTTTTATTGTTTTTTTATTTACTTATCTTGATCATAGTTCAACTGATTAGATCAAACACACTTAATCGAGAGGTTAAGAAATTTAAATCTCTCTACATCACATCACATCACATTATTAAAGTGAAACAGTTGTTTTTGGACTACGAACAAATGGACTTCCATGTGTTTGGATAAAAAAATTTGGCAGTTCATCATCCGAATTCACGTTTCAATGTACATCTTAGGGGAAAAAACGAAGACACTAACACAATACTCCTTGTTACATAATATCTTACCTAGATCATTGGCACATTTGCTGGTGAATATGGTAATAGATTATCATATAACAGCTGCAATGAATTAAATTGCTCAAATTGAAGACAGCTGAAATTGAACTAAACTAAATAATTATAGCCAACTACAAATTTCAGATGGGTGCCTAAAACAAAGGGGAGTGGTGGCGGCTATTCTACACACTAACTCACCGCTCAATACAATACCCCCGTGGTAATACAACTTTAGAGGCAAAGAGAGTGAGGGGAGAAGAGAGAACATATACATATATATATATATATATATATATGGATAGATAGATATATGTATGGATAGATAGATATATGTACCTGCGGGTTTGGAAAATTGTAAGCTAAGAATCAGGTTGTTCAGATTTAATTGGTGCACCTGAAGATGATCCACAACTTCCATTTTGTAGGTAAAGGCTGTTAGCCACCAGAGAATCACTGACCAAACCAACGTCTGCGTCGTCAAAATTTAACGTGCCTCGGAGTTTCCGTGTTCTGATCGAAGAAATGTTGTTAATTAGCATATTAACAATGCCACTTATTAACGACGAAAATCCTGTTTTCTTTTTAAAGAGCAATTGCATTCCAAAAATTAAGTTGACGTGAATTGAAGCGTACCCATTCAAACCATTCAAACGGTTGTTTATGGCGGTGAGGTCTTTTGAAGGGCTTTGAAACGCATGAGTGCTTTCTCCCACGCAAGCGTAGTAGCTTTTAGAACTATGTGAAATCAACGCATCCATCTGTACACAATTTTTCAAAAGTTGGTTAAATAACATACCGTATAGCTCAATTAGTTAAGAAATATATTCTCAATCAAGAGGTCAGAAGTTCAAATCTTCCACCCCAAATATTGTTTAACGTGCTAGTGCTACTACTAAGGCAACTTATGATTGGTCACTAATCATCAAGTGATGTGGTTATTGAAAAAAGACTAACAGGAACAATTAAACTTCAATCAGCGATCTCATAAGAATATATCCGGATGAAACGCCCCAAAGATAGAATTTAACTAATGACAACGACATGCCACTACAAAATGGAATATGAATAAAGGAGGTGCCACGGGTCCACTGAAAACTCCACACATTTAAAAAGTGCCAACTCTGGGCCAGGTTATAGCATAAGAAACCATGAGATACGGATCATCTAGTAAACGGATAAGGGTATGACAAGGATAAGCAATAAGTTTTTCTTCCCTCTTTTTTTGTGAGGTAAGACAAGCAACAAGTCATGTGATCATAAACGATACGTGCCACACACAATGATGACCCATGGGAATAATTTTATCCAACTTTTTTTCAAATTATTGATGGGCGTGTATGTTGAACTGAAACATCGACATTACCATAGCTCTGTGTTGCGGTACATGGTTACCTTAATTGTTGCATCAGAATAAAGATTATTACATGATTTTTTAAGAATAAAACGATGCAAAAGATAGCCTATGAAACTTGTAACACGAATGCTGAACAATATCATGCCTCAAGTTAAAAGGAAATAACTAACAAAATAAATTAAATTATTTTTCGGATTCAACAGTTCAATATGGACTCGATAAGATATAGAAAACATTCAAATGACCAATTCAGCGGAGTAGAGAGAAAAAAAAAATGCAGAATCGAATGCATGAATATACAAATACCTTTGATGATCTTAACGGAGAGACATAGACATTATGTGCAGAAGATACTTTCTTTGGAGACATATCGGGAAGACTTGGAAAAGGAGATATCTTAGGTGATCCAGGACAAGGTGCTAATCATAAGACAAAAGAAGACCAAAAAACGTATTTAGAAATGATATGTAAACTGCAAAGACGAAATCACCATTACAGCCAAAATAAACTTGACCAGGTATACCATCACTATTATTGATAACTTGAGGAACTCTGTCGGTTTTCATGGTTGAAACAGCTGGGCCAATCTCAACAAGCAAAGGTTTTACAGACGGAATAAATATTTCATTGTAGAACGTAATTATATCCACATGATCCTGTCCAGATCTCTGAATCCAAGCATTCAAGGAGTTAGACTTCCCATTTTAATGTGCATTTATTAATCAAATTCTTTTTAAAAACAACAGCATACCCCATTACGACGTGCTGAAGACCAATCGACAAACACGTTGCGAAAGACCTGTGGCTTGCATTGTGGTTGCTTCCTGTAGTTGTAAATGATTTCCCTAAACGTGAGGCTCAATTGAGATATCTGCAACATCGTTTGTGTTAAGCTTGCTTATGAAGAAACTGAACCCAAAAGTATCAAAGAACTATCTTCTTCTTCTTTTTTCTTTTCTTTTTTTTTTTTTTTTTAATAACATGTATCAAAACCTCTATCAACATCCATTAGAGCTAACCTTTGCAACGCCATAGAAACAACAAAGGATGATCTGGTCAATGTGACGATTAAATAATAATGATGCCTTTTGACTGAGTATCTGTTGGAAAAGGCAGTAGACATTCTCCCTGATCTGATGAGATAACTGCAACCTTTCCACCATACCATTTACTCTAACAGCAGCCAACTTGACGATCTAAAAGTTGAAAATCGTGCAAAGCGCTTATTATCAAAATGGTTAAAGGAAAACAATAGGAAAATAAAAATCATAGATAATAGCAATGGGAAGGGGAAACAGAATAGAAAAAATCCAGTAGGATGAGAGATCTCATATTCTCAACATATGAATAAAGAGTGCAGGTCACACACACTTATCATTGCCATTTGCTCACCAAACTTTAATCCCATTATTTGAGTAATAAGTCAAGTAATTTGATCCATTCATAATTTTTATTACATTGTCATCTTACTGTCCTTTAGAAATCACGAATTAGGATGTCCAAAAATGTTCAGTTATCTTGATACCACAGTAGCCAGAAGTAGATCCTTAACCTACTCACAAATCCACGATATCTTATACAATCATACAGTTAATGACTGACCACTACACTTCCAATCAAAAGAAAATTAGAAGATATGATTTATACCTTGCTAAAAAATATGCTAATTCCAGTTTCAGCACACGTTTCGCCACCTCCTCCAGGATTAGGCCGAGTAGGACTGCAAATAAGGTTATAAAGCATGTAAAATGGTTTAGTAGTTAGAAGTAGCACTTAGAAGAGGCAGATTATACCTTGCAAATGCTGACTGTAAAGGAGGAGGTAGAAGCTTAGACTTAATATTACTGAACGCCAGGAGACGGTCCTTCACTGGAGAAGTAAAGGAATTCCGTTCCACTAGAACACTTCTTAAGTCTGTGCACGATCTTTTTGGTGACCTAATATCCCCATTCTGACCTGAAGGATGGCCATAGAGATCCAAGTTCATAATTTAGGGAAAGAAAAGAAACACATTTGTTAATTAAATGCACGCTTTTGGACAGAGACAAACTCCAAGGCAGTCAAAATCATTTCTATCTATAAAGATTAAAACACAAAAACTGATGATTTCTGCAAACGTTAAGATGACAACTAGATTATTTTCTGCTAATGCTGCATTTTACAAGTCATTTCCATGTGTTAACCAATTGAATTTAATGCTAATAAACCAAAGATGAAAACAAGAGTACCTGGCAAACTCTCATGCTTTTGCGGAATCAGCATGGTTGATACCCCACTACCAGAAAAGTTAATTTGAACAGCAATCGCATCCAAAGATGGCATGGGTTCAGCTAATAAACCCATACGGTTTATTTCAGCAGCAAGGGAAGGTTTAGCAACAATCAGGGAGTTATACATTGACGAACCTTTTTCCCATACCATGCTCTCTAATAGCCGTTCTTCCAACGAATTAAGATGTCGCCTCAATTCTCTAGGAAGTGATTCTTCATGTCTAATGAAACTTTCTATCACCTTACTAAGATCAAAAGCTGTAATGCCAGTTCTCTCCAATACTGCAGGAAACAACATTGTAACAGTTTTATGTGTGGCCAAAACCAATTCGGCAGAACAAGCCAGCATACATCTGTGGAACCTCTCATTAGTCAGCAAAGAGGTCAAATTAGTCACATGCAGCATCTGAGACTCTGCTCTGCACATTGCTTCCAGAACTCTATAATATAACTTCAGTGCTTCTAGTCGTCGCTGTTCTGCCCAAATGTTATCCATGAGGTTTGCACTTTGTAAATTTCCAGGTATACAACGCTCTCCTAGAGCACTATT